GGCGGGGAAGCGGCCTCGGACCGCAGCGTTAAGAGGCGCAGTTTTGATGGTGGGGCTTATTTTGCTAATTAGGAGTCCCTTGCAGCCCAGCTTTCTCTTTTTCCTTTTGCGCAACTAAGCAGATAAGACTCAAGAAAGCGAGTGTGCAGTTAGTGCTACTAACAGCACAGTGCGATGGCTGCAGCGCCTGGGGCTCTGTACTGTGGCCGCAGCCAGCAGCGTGCAGGGACCGTGCAGGCAAGCGAGCAGCCCCTCGCTACCTCTTGCCATCCAGCATCACCCACCTCCCACTTTTTCCCGGGAAAGCTGCAAGCCAGTGTTGATCCGTTGGTGCTGGGAGCAGAGCTGCCTCCTGCCAGGCAGAGGTTGAGGCTAGGCTCATTCTCTTGCAGGCTGGGTCACAAAAAGGTCCCTCACGGCACTTCTTGCGGGCCTGCTGCTGCCTCCAGAGCTCAAAACTGCAGCTAGTGGTACATGATAATCCAGCTAGAGCGAGCGAGACTGTGATTCGGAAGCAGATGAAAGATGCTGAGAAAGTTTTGGTCGCACTGGCAGCGTGAGCAGTAGCCAGCGCAGCAGCAGAGGGGATGAAGGGAGGCGGAGGTCGCCGGCAGCATGCATGTGGTCCAGAATGAATACTTTTTTGCTGAGCTATTATTTCTTCCATAGACAACATGCCAGTGTCAAGAATGCGCATGAGGCCCTGGCTGGAAATGCAGATTAATTCCAATCAAATACCGGGACTGACATGGATTAACAAGGTGAGATTTTTTGCAACCAAAACCTATCTATGCTGCTACTGAGTAATCTCTGATTCAATTCATCATTATAAATTGGCACGTGAGGAATCTCCTTTTTTAATTCAAAACTCTTATTGGTTTAACTTCAGGATAAGATGATGTTTCAGATCCCTTGGAAACATGCAGCTAAGCATGGCTGGGACATGGAGAAGGATGCCTGCCTCTTCCGGAGCTGGGCTATTCATACAGGTGCGTGCTGGCTTTAAGATTTTATCTGTCAGATGGATACCTCAAGTAGGGCAGCTTATTCTGTCTTGATTTACAGTTCAGGTTATCAAATTAACTTTTTAAAGAGAAAAATAGAAAAAGATTATTTCCTTGCAGGAAGAACAACCACTGCAATCAAAAGTCTGAATGTTCACACTATTTCTTATTTATAGGAAGATATAAAATAGGTGAGAAAGACCCTGACCCTAAAACCTGGAAAGCAAACTTCCGCTGTGCTATGAACTCCTTGCCCGATATTGAAGAAGTGAAGGACAAAAGCATCAACAAAGGCTCCAGTGCAGTCAGAGTGTACCGAATGCTGCCGCCCCTGACGAAGGATCAGAAGAAAGGTAAGCACGCGGGAAGCCAGCCGGGGCGAGCAGGCCCTGCTGCTGCACTTCAAACACTGCTTGAATTTCCTGCCCCACTTGCAGCAGAGCTGCTGGTAGCAACACTGTTACTGGGGTTAGTCACCGGTTATTGCTATCAGTAACACGTTGCACACGTACAGTAACAGTTTGTACAAACTGTTCATTTTATCCCAAATTCTTAAAACATACCTAAAAGGGATCATTAGGAAGCGACCAGGATTCACTTCTGCAGAGCAGGACTTTGCTCAGAGCTGCAATGGTTCATACTCACGTAAAACGTTGGCTGTGAAGCCCTTTCTCATATTGGTCTTATTTTTATTTAACAGAAAGGAAGTCAAAGTCATCAAGAGAAGCAAGAAACAGGAGCAAAAGAAAGGTATGTGTGTGTGGAAGCAGCTGAAGAAGCTAGAGGTTTTGGTGGTTTTCTTGCTTAATTTTTTTCATATGGGAACTTGTACATTCTTAGACAAGTATCTCATGCCTTGCCCTTATTTTTGTAGTCGTATGAAGACATGAAGACAGAGGAGTCAGTAGAAAGTCTAACCAGTACTACTCTACCGGACGACCACAGTGGTTACACAGTACATGGCTACACGGGCCAGGAAGTGGAAGTGGAGAGCACATCCATCACCTTAGGTGAGATTCAATTTTTAGCACTCTGAGCAGAGTGGCAATTGCTGTTCAGGCTAAAGCAACAAGCTCAGCACCAAAAGGTGTTGGCAGCTTTCTGTAGGGATGGCGTGAACCAGGTGGTGGGGAGAGAGGGTGGTGTGTGCCTGCTCTGAAGCCCGACTCTGGTGTGTCCCCACAGACCTCTCGCCCTGCGAGGTGAACTGCTCCCTGACCGACTGGAGGACGCCCATGGAAATTGCCATGGCCGACAGCACCAACGACCTCTACCAGCTCCAGGTGTCCCCCCCAGCTTCGTCCTCAGAAGGTTGGTATTGCTTCCCCCCTCCCCAGTCTTTCATCAGTCTACTGGAAATAGCCTTGCTCTAGCAGTCTGTAGGCGAGGCTACAGGATGAGAGAGTGCCCTGGGGTATTCAGAGAAGCAAGGGTTTTCTTGTAGACCAAATCACCTCCACCTGATGGCTTTGGGTTACCGGAGCTGACCAGACTGTGGCCAGGTCACACAAGTGAGGAGCTGGCCTGCGTAACTTGCAGAAGTCATTGCTTACCAGCAAAAGGCCTCACACCCAGCTCTTAAGGCAGATTTCGTCTCGAAATCTTAATGTTATGGCACAGATGGGTCAACACAGGAGGCAGGGGAGAGATTTCTGACCCGAGTGCCCTAGGAGGGAGGGATGCCAGAAGCAGGACACTGAGTTAAGTGCTCAGGTGACCGCCTCCACTATGGCAGCGCCTAGATAGAGGCAAGTGGAACTATTCCCATGTGCTGACACTAACTCTCGTGGATCACCTGCCAGCAACTGGAGAAGTTCTTAAATCTGAATAGTTACTTAAAAAAACAGAAAAAGGTAGTGGTGTTGTGTGAGAAGAGAACGTGATGTGGGTTGTGGTGGTGAATAAGTGTGAGAGAGCTAGCTTAGTGAGGAAAAATTGAAGTATTTGTCTGTTTTCTTCTCCTTTTCTTATGTACTTATGAAGCAGTCACAGACGAAGATGATGACGAAATGAAATCGGACATTTTCAAGGTAAAATTAGCCCTTCTCTTGAGATTGAAATTGCTCAGGGTTGCTGTTTGCCCCAAGACAGGAAGAGAAGCCATTACCTGATCCATTGATAATCCTATACAGGCTGAGCATAGAGTTACTGCAATCCAAGACCCTATTTAATGAGGAAGCCTGAAAAATTAAATACAAGGAGGAGGCCAATTTGCAGGCGCGAACGAGAGAATACGCATACATGGAAATATATACTATTTTTATGAAAGTCAGAGAAAGCTGTTCAGTACTGCTAGAAATAAAGGTTGTTCTGTCAGAGGCTGCAGAGACTTCTGTTCCCTAGAAAGAATTTATTTATTTTTTAATCTGCCCTTCCTTCTGCCTCTCACGTGTACATGTCCAGACACATCACGCTCATCCCACTGATCAGATGGCTACTTCCTTCATGGAAGGTGCTCTGCCTTTGTTTTGGAATAAAATTAGTTTCATACCTTTAGCAAGGGAAGGTAGCACTTGCTCTTTCGCTGTTGCCTTCCCCTTCTCCACCGTCATTTGACGAGGGCGGAAGGACGACATCGTGGCACCCGCGGGAGGGACGGGCCGCCCTTTTTCACTGGTGTCCTGGGGCGCTCGCTGCACGGGCGTTTGGCTTCTGGGCGATTACAGGGCGAGCTGCAGCGTGGTTTTGTGATGTACATCCGCAGCTACCTAGTCGTACAGGTTTTCATCCCTGTGTCAAAACGAAACCTCTCTTTTGCTTTATTTGCCATTACTAAGCTTGCATTGGTCGTAGGGAATTTACTTTGTGCCTGTACTTTTTAAAAAAGTGTTCTCCTCCCCCAACACCCGTCCCCTAACTTCAGGCTTTATCACCATCTCCTTACTCTCTTACAGCTGCTGGAGCCAGTCCAAGAATGGCACGCGACCAGCGTCGAGGGGAAAGGCTACCTCACCAACGAGCCCGGCACGCAGACCTTGTGCAGCGGTTACACCTACAAGGAGCAGGACGCCGAGATCGACACAACTTCAGGTACGAGTCCCCAGACTAGGGCTTATCGTCAAGGGCAAAGGAAGACGCAGAGTAACGTTTTCGTGCGAGAAATAAATTGGGAGGGAGAAAAGCAAGTTGAGGAATTCGTACATTCATCTATTTGGAGACTTCTAACTAGCCTGTCAGAAGACTGAAAAGAATTTGTTGAGATTATTAAAAAAAAAAAAAAATCCAGAGAAAAAATTATACCAGTAAGGGTATGCGGTAGACTTGTCTCAAGATTATATGCTTTTAAGCTTTTCCAGTTTTCAGGAGCATCTGGTAACATAAGAATTTCGACTAGCAATTGCTTAAAAATAGGACAGTGGTAATAAAGATAACATTTTAGCAAAATACTAGTCTATTGAGGAATCATTACATTTTTTTTTCCTATTAATAGGTTGTAACTGTTTTGCTCCTGCTGCGTGTGATTCATTACTCATTTTCATTTTATTTTCTCTAGGAGAACTAGGCTTCCGATTCTTTGACCAGAAAAGCAGCCTGGACTTCTCGTGGCTGGAGACGGTCAGACCCACCATGCAAGCCATCCCCTGCGGCTTGTAGGCCGCTGGCTCTCGCCAACCACCATCCCATGACTCCTTTACAGCCCTGATGAGAGTGGAAGTTGTTTGTTACTGACTGGAAGCAGAAAGTAGCTTTTATATTCCGTTTAACTCTTAAGCCTGAAAAAATTTAGCAAGAGAAACCTCAATTTTAAAAAAATTAAAAAGAAAAAAAGGGAGGGGGGAATCCTATCGCATTAGCAGCACTCTTTGCATTGAAGATGGCCGGCTAAGCCGTCGCCCATGTGTGATAGTCACTTCCGATGCAAAACTCTTGCTGTAATGTTGCTAATGTGAGCTGGGGCCCGGAGCGTGCGTGGGGTGCTGTGCGCCAGGGAGGAGGTTGCTGTCCCCCGGGCAAGAGGCGACGAGCACTTTACCCTGGGAGTGCTTAGGAGACGCAGTGCAAAGGGGTCTCCAACCCATTCGTTTTGGTTGCTGCTTACCTGTGCAACACTGGTGAAGCTACGAGCTTCAAGATTGTCATTACACTCTTTAAGAGTCAGCAGAAATTGCACTAACTGGCCCTCTCCTTTGATTTACTCCAGCACCACATAGTTCATCTTTAGCTCAGTTCTTTAAAACTTGTGTAAATAGGTTTAGACCAATAAAATGTGAAAATTCAGTTTAGGCTTTGCTTCTGTGTAGTACACATATTCAGGGGAGCCGCTCGTAGGCCGTTATCCTGCTAGTAGGCATGGCATATCTATTTTTCCACATAATAGGTGAAGAGCTGCAGCATGAGACAATTTTTGCACTGATGGGGCAGAACTTCTTATTTATACGCTGCCTTGCAGAGATCCGTTCTACCGCTCGTCATGCTAGGAGGGTGCCAGCAGTACTGTATGCAGTAAGCTGTAGCGAGAGTTGAACCGCGCTGGCTGCGCGGTTGCAGGAGAGTGCCGAATGGAAGAGGTTCTAGTTTATGCATTGTTCATAGGAATTGAATCACTAAGCTGTAATAGAATATTTTCTTGTACATTTTATTTTTGTATATAAAGTGTTGTATATTTGTTTTAATAAATGTTTTATATATGACGTATGTTTGTGACTCCCTGATGTGGGTCTCACTACCGGTGGCGCAGCGCTGCCTCCTGCGATAGGGGCGTTGGGGACAAAGCCCTCGCTGAATAAACGCAACTTGCTGAAACCAAAAAGCACCTGGACTGCTAGGAAGGAAAGTGGAGAGAAAGCTTAATTTTCATTGTATTTTTTTTTTTGTCCCTTTGCCATGCTTTCTGGGCTGCAAGGTATTACAAACCATTGCGTCCTCGAGGGCGGCTGAGAAGGGGGAACGGCGTCACACCTGGGTCTCCAGCTGCAGCTGGGACAGCCCCCGCGCCCAGCCAGGCTGCGAGCAATGCAAATTCAACCCACGGCCGGCCGAGGCAGGAGCTGGAGCCCGGCCACCCCGGGGCGAGCGAGTGTTGAGGACAGCACGATCCAACCGAACCACCGAGACAAAGGACTTGGGCAACACACTGGAAGGTAACAGGTTGTGCTTAGGAGGCACTGCCAACCTGTTACCTAGGGGAGGGACAAGCGAAAGGAAACTTTCTATGAAGCAATCAGCACTAAAAATATACAGCAGGGATTAATTCCCCCATTCATGCATTAAGAAGAGAACTTTTTTTTTTTTTAAAAGTAGTTATGCTCAGATAGAAGAGGACAGCACTGAAACTTTCACAGGTAAAAGCTCTGACAGGTTTGAGGACAAAAGCGAGTAGCAGCTGGTGCCCACGCCAGGAGTCGCTGCCAGGGGCTTTGGAGCCAGCTGGTGGGATGCTCGCCCCAGCCAGCTGCCGGCCTGGCCACAAAGCAGGTATTTGCCTGTGAAAAAGTGCTTCTGACTGGTGACGTCCCACTGCTGGAGGGAACTTATCAAGCCAGTCACTTGGCTACATGACTAAGTGCCAAGTTCAAAATAGTTTTTGCTTTGAACTTTTGGGGGAGGAGAAAGGAAAAAGATTACCTAGCCAGACAGCATGACTCAGTTCGGCTGAGTAGCAGCTGAAGCACCACGGAGGAGGGTGCAACGTGCTGAGGCTAGGATGGCGCAAGCGCATGCCCTGAGGGTCAGCAGCCTGTCCATCACCCCCAGAAGATGGCGGTGGGGTTCACAGGAGGGACGTTTCTCCTACAGCCATCTAAGGGGGAGCCTCTGCCGCTTGCCCCTGGGGCAACACCATGAGCTCTTCAGGGCAGAGCTCCTGCAAGGGCTATTCAACAAAAAATACTTCCACAGTCTTGAAGTTGGAGTCTCCCAAACTTGCCAATCTCAAACCAGCTTTTCCCAGACCCAGTAAGCTTCACGCAGCTTTCCTGTGTCCAACTAGGAGCTACTGCTGCCCTTAGCATGCACGTGGCTACCTGTAGCCTGGGAAGCAATTCCCACCGGAGGGGAGCGGGTCAGTGCCGCGAGGAGGTCACCTCCAGGCAAAGGCCAGGTGAAGCAGCAATGCGCACACTTTTATGGCACGCGGCTCAAAGGGCAAGGTGCTCTGAACCTTGCACAGACGGTGAGGAAAGAGGGCTGGAAGCAATGCAACAGGTCTAAAAATAAGCACAGCCCACCCGTCCTTGCCAGGGACCATCTGAAAAACCATTCATTAAAAAAAAAAAAAACAACACATACCCACAAAAAACATCTAGGTGAAAACTGATTGAGTAACTAACCTCCGTAGGCTTGGCGGTCTGTTTGAGATGAGGCTTTTCCCAGTCAGTCATGCTGCAGTTACACCATCGTTGGCTGCAGCTTATATGCAGGCATTTAAACCATTTTAAAACATGACCAAAATTCTTCTTATTTAGTAAGTTAGGATATCACTCGGGCAAAAACCTACCAAAAATTAGATGACAGCCTCAGCAACCGTCCTACAGGGTCAAACTGCAGCAGCCCCACAGCAGATCCCACTGCTGCTTCCTGCCCAGCAAGCAGGATACCTTCCTTCGGTAGGGCCACAGGTTTTACATATCTGTTAATTGCAGCTTTAATGAAAACCCTTGACCTATAAAATAAAAGCTTATTGCTTGTCCCTAATTTTTGTCCAAACTGACTGTTAAATGCCCTTCCATAATTGAGAGTGGCACAGGCGTTCCTCCCCTTTGGTCTGTCCAACACCTTGTTAATATTTTAAACACCTCTTTTAGGAGCAGACAGCCTTTGCACGGCCTGACCTGCCCTGCTTACAGGGCCCTTTCCACCCGATTATCAGCAGAGCTTGCACCTTGCATGAGCTTTGCCCAAGAGCAGCTTGCAGTAGGCAGCAGAGCCTATAATTAGCGTTTCACCTTTATTTGCGGTGTTGATTGGATCCTGATAATTGGACGCATTTCCAGGCAGTCCCTGGATGGATGATGACACAGCTGTAAAGAATAACAGTACTTCAGGCCAAAGGTATGAATTTATAACTGCAGAAAATAGTGCAAAAATTTATGTTTGAAGGGCAAAGGCCAACAACTACTGCTCAGGTAGCAACAAAGCGACTCAGCCTGCAGACGGGATTCCTTCTGCGTGGCGCGGGAGCGTCCCTCCTCTGCAGCGCTGCGAGGGGCCAGCTTTGGCCCTTCCGCCCCGCGCGGCCCAGGCCTGCGCCCGAGGAGCTGCCGCGTTCGCGGCGCCGC